AAGAAGTCGAAGCTCCCTCGAGCTCCCTGGAAGCTCGACAACGTAAAAGGCCCTTAAAGACTCAACTCTCGAAGCTCGATGACCCAGCAGGGAGCAAGGTATTAATTTTTCTTTTTTTTTAAATTTTTCCCTGAAATTTACGGGTCTGAATTGGTTTCTGTGATGTTTTATTGATTAAACCTTGGATGCAAAAATCTGTGATTTGACAAATTTTCTTCTTTTAACTTGAAATTTCGATATATAAATGGATTCAAGGGAGCAAGTTTCAACAATTGGTTAGGGATCTAAAACATGTGCTGTTTACATTTTAGCATATTTATATTTCATTAAATGTGCTATTTACATTTTAGCATATCTACGTGCTTAGATTACATTTTACGACATTATATTATATACGCTCACCTTCCGATATAATGACGTTCCGATTTTTCATTACTTCTCCTCGATATATCCCGATAACCAGGATCCGATATGAATTTTGGCCTTCAGATATATTTGTGATATTCGATATTTAAAACCTTGCGTATCGGGCAGGACGTAATGAGTAGGCTCACTAGGGGTGGCCTCCCTGGTATTCTTATCAAGGTTGACATGTACACTTGTGAACATTGTCTTGTAGGCAAAACCGCTAGGAAGACTTTTGGAAAGGGAAATAGTTGCAGCTGCTCTATTGTGATTAGTGCTCGACATGTTTCCTCACATTTATCGGCAGTGGCGTAGTCAGAAATTTCAACAGGGGTGTCGGAATATGTATAAAATGACGATAATACTAATTTTTCTCACATTCAGCATAATCGGGAACTTTAATGAGATACAAAAGAGAATTAACTAAATACAATAATTAGTTACAATTGACCTATATGTGTGTTCGTATTTTGAAATCAATGCATATTAACCTCATTCGAAATACCATTAAAAATGTCCCTTTCAATGTGAACTTATGTATCTTTTTTTTGTTCTTTTTCAAAATTAATTGATGGTAGCTCTTTAGTTTAGTCTGTTGGCGAATTAGGTCATTTAAGTCAACAGGTCTTTAAGTCACTTTATTTTTAGGTTTGGCCCATTGAGAGTTAATGGATCATTGCTCACTATTAAAATGAGTTGGGGGTGTCACTTTGCTTCATAAGCTCACATTGCTTTCTTAAATTGTATTATTTAGGGTGACACCACCCTCTATATACTAGCTCTGCCCTTATTTATAGATGACCACTCTTGGTAAGATGCCAAGTGTCGATCCCCCCTCGTCGACCCCCCGCCACGGGTCCTCTGGCAGTGGCATCCAATGCTATTGCTATTGATAATGCCTAACGTCATTATGACCCAAACACGAACACAATGTTTTAAAGTTGATCATGCCTTAGCTCCTTAAGCTCTCAGGCACAGTGTTATAAATAGCTCTCCATAGCGATGCGATTGTGGGAAATCGTAGTGGTAGCGGCCACCATCGCTAGGATATCATGGATTGCGGTGCTAAATTGCGGGAGAATCTGCTATTTTCTCATAATCGCGGAGAATAGCGTGAAATAGCGTTGTTTAGCGCTTAAAAGCGCTTTAAGCGCTATTCTTAACGTCTATTGGTTTTAAATCCCCATCCGTTAGCAACCCGAACCTGACCCAACTTGAAATAAAACTTTATAGCATCATTCTCTCTTTGTGTCTCTCTCGTGTTTGTCTCAAACTTGAAACCCTAGCCGCCGCTCATTCATCGTTTCACATCCTCCAATGAGCTCTTCCTCCGACGAGCATCAAATCCTCCATCAAAACGTACTTGACGTCTTCAAGCTCCTTTTCCCAAGGTTTTAAATATCGGATGTCTGGGAAATATCGGATAGCCAAAATTCAAATCGGATTGCGGATATCGGGGAAATGTGGTAAATATCGGAACGCCATAATAAATATTTGCATATATAGTATAATGCACTAAAATGCAATCTCAACATACTTAATGAAAATCTAAGCATGCAAAATATGAATAATATTTGTTTAGGCTCACTAATCAACCTTGTGAAACAAATAAAAGTACAAATCAATGTTACAACATTTCGTCTGATTTTTTAGGGCAAAATGTCATTTGATATAATGGAAAAATCATGACATCTCGCCCAAAAATTGCCAAACACGGTATATTGTCTTGCGAAAAGCCATATTAAAGGATATATCAGCCAACATATCGGTTTATATATCAGCCATATCAGGAATATATTGCCCAAAATAGTCAAAAGTGGTAAGGGATATTTAGAGACCATATCGGTTACGGCAAGCCCTACAAACGGATATATCGGGTCATGTCAGGGATATTTAAAACAATACCTCTTCCTCTAGTCCACTAAATCCGCTGAGCTCGGAAGCTTCCTCCACTGTCAGGTGCAAAGACCTGAGCCACCACTACCATCTTCGAAGGTCCTTCCGGGCACTTTCTCCACCATCTCCGAAGCTTTCTCCACCGTCGCCAAAGCTTCATCTCTATTGGGCTTGGCCTATAATTTTCTTATTTTTTAGAATATTTAAATATATTTAAATTGGACTGCTATTTGACTGAGTTATTTCCACTATGAGCACAGATAGCTTTAGCAGTGCCTCACCGCTACGCGACGCTATCGATAACTATGTTTAGTCATAGTGATTTTATACCTTAGTTCATCATATATTCTCAGTGGTGAAGGTTATGTCTTTGACGCCTTAAGAGCTTACCTAAGCACCTCAGGCGCTCACCTTAGGTGTGTGTGACAAGGCAGAAAAGGTGTCTATCTTTTTATTGAAAATTTGAGAGCAGGTTAGGTGACCAACAAAGTAAAGTTTGTTTTTTTGGTTTTGAATTCTTTGTTGTTTTTCTTGGTTGCTCTTTTGTTATCTTTTGTTGTGATGTATCTAAGCACTTATATTGTTTTGAGGACATGCTACAACTTGGACCTAAGAGGTTCAAATGTTGTTGCATAATTATCTATGTTACTATTACTACTTAGTAGTTACTAGTTAGTATTACTATTTTAGAAGTTTTTACTTATTGTTTTGATGGTTTATGTCTGCTAGGAAGTCTTATTCAGTTTTGGCTATTAGTTAGGATTTCATTTGTTATTAGGATTTATTTTTCCTATAACTATGATTATGCTTAATCATTTTAGGAGGCGGAGAAAAGAATTATGAATACACAGTGGGATGCTTGTGAGTTGTAACAACTAACAAGTACTATTAGACATAAGAATTGCCTGGCATATGATGCCCAACATTTATCTTTTCTTTATTAAATGTCGAAATTAGAATTTTACTTTTGCAATCCCTAAAGTCCTCATTTAATAAATAAAAGTTACAAATGTTAGGCCTTACATGCCAGACACCCACATGCCTAATAATATTTGTTGCAACTCATTTGCAGGTTTCTCACTTGAGTTTTCATCGCTAGCTATACAATGCAATGTAACAAATTGTACATTAATTTTTTCAGTTCCTTTTTTTTTTAAATTAAAGCACATGTTTTGTCACAGATCTATCTAACTAAAATCTTGCCTCTGGCAGTCCACTGCTGTTGATCACTTGATGTGATTCATATCCTGTGAATTTTATGCTTATCATAGATTCATAACTTCATGCCATCATAGGTTGTGTATATATGTTTCCACCTCCACATTCTTAGTTTCAACATTAATATCATTGCAAAGCATGCTTGTGTGGATACAATTAATTCTTGCTTGTTTCAATTGTTTTTGTTGTCGGTTGTTTTCATTTTTGCATGTCTATATCACCACTAGGGTTTTAATCATAGAATGTATCCTCTTTTCTTTAATGCTTGCAGTATTCATGATATAATGTTTTACATTTTAATCAACTCCTAAGTCATTCTTTCTCTGGTTTTATATGCCTATGTTTATATAAAATCCCTTCATGGCTTATGTGAATCTGATGATTTTGGAAGTATCTGCACATTGAAATCTTTCATTTTCATAACATAGTTATTGCAAATATATTACATCTGTGCTTATGTGTGTTTAATATATAGCATATCTTATACATTGACTCTTTCAGGTCAGGTTCCGGAAGAAAAGACAAATCTAAAAGCTCTCAACGCAAACTTGAAAAGAAGCTTAACTTTCATGCTAGTAAGTTTGTTTATTATTTGAAATAACTTATATGTTTGTTCCTCGACTATTTGTGCTATAATTGAAATATTGGTAGCTCTACAATTTTATATATGTTTATTCATGGATAAACATTTTCGATTAATTGCAAGCATGAAGTTAAAAAATGTTTGAAAGCCCATAAGACATCCTATTTTAGGTCTCAGATTTTTTTATGTTGAAATTACTTATGATTCTTTTTCCCATGATGTCTTTGTTAGTGATGTTTTAAGCTATATCTTATGTGGGGTATATCTGATATGTCAGGGGCCTATGTTCTGAGTAAGATGCCTTAGCCATATTCGATACATATCTGAGTTTGAATATTCTTCATACCTGATGTGTACTTGATTGATACTTTTTAATATATCTTAGTGTTTTACATATCCTAGATGGGTGAAAGAGGTATCTAGGAAGTTAATGATTGAATATATGGTTGACAATTTGTTTATTTCTTGTTTCATCCCCCATCACTCGGACTCACTAGCACTGGATATGCATATTGGGCTATGCATTCAGATTCCAGAGACAATTTGTGGTCACATTTGTATGTGCTAAAAGAAAATATTTATATCCATTTTGTATTTACTTCAAGTGCATCCTTACAGAACCGCCGATATTTTTTGGGGACATCTTCAATCATTAGGTGCACACAGTTCCTTGTAATCCAGTGAAATGCTTATAAGTATATACGGAAATTCCGAAATTTAGGAAGCTTTGCTTCTTAGGTCCTCTTTTCCTTTTTTGTGTGTATTCACATGCCTATATATGCTTGTGTGATATGCAAACCTAAGTATATTAGGTGGTATCAATCATCTACAGAGCTTTGAATTTTATGTTTTTATCTTTTTCCATGAATTTTTTTAAGCAGAGGTGGCTTGCCTTCTAATCTTAAAAATGTGACACAGCACTTGTTCTTTCTCTTATATTTATCACCTGCTGGTTTATATCTTCTTATTTTACTCTTATTATCTTTTGCAGAGGTTAAGGATGCATCTGTCAATTTAGGTCCTAAGAAAGCTATAAATAAGGTACTTTTGCTAACCCAAGTATATATTATTTTGAAATAAACTTTGTTCTTATATTTGTTACGGTTGTGTTTGGGTGATTGACTAAAATGCTTTTTAATTCAATCGCCTTTATATCAACACATTCTGTTTTAATATCTTTTCATTTTGTTTGCATAGTGTTAGGAGAGCACAAAAAAGGGCATAGAGTTATTCTAGAGGGATTTCTTTGAAAAAAATAAAATAGAATCTGATGGATGAAATTGATATAGTTGAAAATTTTATATTTTTTCAAATACCTGTAAAGTGCATGGTTGTCCAATAATTTCAGGTGTTTACTTTTATGTAAGAACCCTTCTAGTTTGTCATGCTTGTTTGTCGTGGTGGTATGACAGATTTTATTTATGGAGAGGAGGTTGGCACAATATTTTAGGGGAGTTTATTTGGTTTACATGTTGTGGTAATATTATATTGGGAAGCATAAATACCATCATTTAATCATTTAAAAATAAACGATCAAGAGGGAGGGCCAATATACAGGAGGTGAATGCCAATTAATTAGGAACTGCTGGGGTTTTTTCTTCCAGGAGGTGAATGCCAATTAATTCAGTTGATCATCTTATGATAGAATCCACTACCATTTCAGGATTTCCTATTAATTAGGAACCCTCACCATAAATATCTTTTTCATATGAATATATATGTGACTATGTATGATTATAAATATACAACTATAATCATATGAATATGGCATGCATACACATACATACATACATACATACGTGCACAGTGCATACATACGCACATACATATATGCATATGTGTGAGCACGTCCGTGTTGCATATGAACAGACATGTATGTGTCCCGCATTTTTTTTTGAGACTACATTTTGTCTTTGTATCACGTATTGTGCAACATCTTGGTGTGCTGTTTTAGTAACTGTGTCATAATCCTTAACCCATTTGGCCTGAGCAAGCCTACTAATATAAACTATAGTAGCTTGGTACATTTGCTTAAATGGCTTTAGGTTAGCGCATTGCATTTCTTCACTGTCGGTGCTCGGTTAATATCTCATATACATCATATAACTATCTTACATTCTATTACAAAATCATGGGAAGCACTTAGAATCTTGGTTAGCAAGTTCACATTTATGCAAACTTTATGTAGATCTCAATTTAGTTCTTTTCTGAGCCAAATTATATGTTTACTTTTTCATTCTACAAACTAGGATACAATTCAATGCTAATTGAGTAAGCTGGATGAGATTCATATCATCTGATTATTAGGCAGGCGTGGTCAGGGTTAAGCAAGCTTATCGAGTCAGGTTTGGGCCAGCCTAGTGCAAGTCTGGTCAAAACTGATTTGCCTGTATACCTGATTGCAACCGCTACTGTAGGGCTATGTGAAATTGGTCAAAATGGGTAAAAGGTAACTTCCATTTGATGCTGATTTTGCTTGGTATTTGGCTTCAGGTTGACCAGCTTAGACTAGGGATTAATGTCCATCGACTGTATGTTGGTGGACGTGATATTGGAATGCCTAGATGGAGGTGACAAAAGAATAGGGTTAATTTCACAAAACCTTACTGAACTTTTGGGGTTGGTGGTGTTGCACATCCCCCCTGGCCAAAAAAAAAACAACAAAAAAGGTAATTTGCATGTAACTAAAATTTCATTGAGGAAAAAACCCAAAAATTATGGGAGGGGTATTTTCCCTGTAAATGACAAACTTTGAAATTTTCTCTCTCATCTGGTCAAGGGCTTTTGTAGTTATTTGCAAATTACATGCAAGGTACCCCAAAGTTCAAGGGGGTTATATGCAACACGCTCCAAAGTTTAGGCGGGTTATGTGAAATTAACCTACAAAATATGGTAGAGGAAAAGATAAACTTGGAAACCTCAGTCTACAGAAAAGCTTCATTTCATATTCATCAAAATATGATTGCAAGTCTAGCACCTTAACCCTTGTTTCGGCTTTAGAGGATGAAGTAGATGAAAAGCCTGTTCTAGTTTAAATTTTTAAATCAAGTGACTCAAAAAAATCTAGTCAACTAAATAGCACAAATAACTGTATGACAGTCAGCTGTATAATGAGAAACTCACTATGAGATAAAAATGATTCAGAGTAATATTATTTAACATGTTTATTCACTAATTAGATCTTGACCTTGTAATTCCTGCAATATTCATAACTTAGAGATATGGCTCTTTTTCTCAGCTTGGTATTTTCCCTTGTAGCATGTTCCAGATTCAATTTTGTTTTCAAGATGAGGTAGGGAAAAAACCATTCTATTAACACTACTGTGAACACGTGAAACCTTGTGGAGCGTTGCTTCCTTAAGTTTACTCGTTCTTTCAATTAACTGTTGTTGGTTGAGCTTATGTCAATACAAGAACAATAGAAGAAATGAAGTGACATGAAACATACCAGAAGATCTGCAACTTTCACATTTCTCAAGTATTAGAAAGAAACAATTAACTTCTCTGGGTATAAGTAGGTGACTGGGATTGGATAATAATGGAATGATTAGATGATGAGATTTTTAAACTATACCCTCTTAACATTATCTTGTGTCATATTCATAATTCTTCCAGCTGCAAATAATTTTGTTTGATATCATGAGCTTTGACACGCTTGCATCTACCAAAAAACACTGTTTATCTTGTAAGACATTTTGTGTTACAACTTTGTCAATGTGGTATCTTTTACTCAGAAGACGAAGTTACGAAGTCGGCAGAGGAAATTGAAGGCATATAATCTGTCAGCACTTTCTGAGTTTCTTCCAGATATAGAACAGCCGGCTGTTGGCACCACAAATTTGAAACTCAACTGCAAGTCTCGGCAGAAACTAGTGTATAACATCATTAAACTCTCATCCTGTGTTCTTTCTTTTTCATTATTTGCAGCTGAGTTGTGATTGTGCATACTATCCAGGCAAAGGGAAAGTGCACAAATGAAAGCAGTTTTGAACAATCCAGTATTCCAAATGGATCCTATCTTGGCTATTCAGCATCACCTTGAGAGAACGCAACCCGAACCTGTGGTGACTGAGAAAAAGCGTAAACCTAATCGACCAGGGAGCGCCAAAAGGAAGAATAAGGCTAAGAAGGGTCCATCATTTATGGATATGTAATACACGGTCACGGATCAATCTCATTTCGAAAAGCAAGCCTTTAGAGCCATGAGTATGTTTTGTGTGTTTAGGCGTTCGTGAGTGTAAGATAACTTAACGTGCACAAACGTACTGTTCCTGACTCATGCTGGGTTCCTTTTCTTTTCTGTTTGTTCCCTTTTCAGTTCTTTAATTTCTTTTTCCAATTTTCCATTCTTGGAGATTAGTGTTATATGCATTGAAGTATCCATTTTTCTCCAAAAAGGTATATCGGTAGTGTATGCGCATCTTTTCTTGTGGATACTTGTTGGATACTTGATCTGCAAGATCCAACAGATACTAATACATGCGTATGCCATAAGCACATCTGCAGGCCATAAGCACATCTGCAGGCGTTTATGTAAATATTAGTTAAGGTAAAAAAATGAGCCGTGGAGAGAGGAGCGGTGAAATTTACAAGATCGAGTCGAGTGGAGGGGTTTTAGGTTTTTTATATATATAAACAATAAAGATAATGAATTCTATGGTCAAGGTCAAGTAGGGGCATTAGTATACACCTGCACATTCAAGCATCCTCAACAAGCTTTAGGAAGGAAAGTGGCTTATTTTACGAAAACTGTACGAAAACAAGGAAAGGAAAGCATTGTCAGCTTAATCAAGCATATGGAGTTCTATGCTGAAGAAAGAAGACCAGAGCTCCGAAGAAGCAAGAGAAATAATAAAAATAAAAATAAAAATAAAAAAAGGTGTGGAAGAAGCAAGAGAAAATAAAAATAAAAAAAGATGTAGAAAGAAATATAAACAAGAGGTAATATTTCAATACCACGATTGTAATTTACTTTATTGTTATTTATGATAAATTTCCGATAATAGCAAAGTTAACAACGCTAAATAAAGTTAAGTTACACATCATAACAACTTAAGAAAAAAACTCACACTAATAGTACTACTACAAAGCTCTTATATTTTTTATATTGTAGAACCTTGTTACACCATAGATGTAGGAGTTCTAATGCCTAGGTTGTATCTTGAGAATTATTTTACATTGTTGGATATGTTGCTTGACAGCCAATCTAGACCTTCGTAGAGACCCTCTCCTGAAGTGGCACATGTGCTCTGGATATACCTAAGATAGCCATAGAAAAAATGTTATTTGAATGTTGCAAAATGTTTTTCTCCAACTTCAAAAAAAAAAAGGGGTAAATGCATGTCATTCTTTCCACTCATCTTCTTCAATTTCACAGGTTACAAGAATTAGAAAAAAGATGTCGAAGTGATGAATTGTATCTACAGACTAAAATATAAAAGACAAAAGATGCACCATGTTGAAGTGATAAATTGTATCCGCAGACTAACTTAATTTGAGGCGTCTCCCAGGTAGATATTGTTGGTAGAATTAGCGAAAACGAAAGTGATTCTTCATGTTTGAATACTAGCTTAGCGCATGGAAGGCATCAGTACAGACCTGCACATCCAAGCAAACATCTAACACCCGGTTATCCTTTGATCTGACACAGTCAGTTCTCCCCTCTCCCTTAACATTGGAACATGAGTGATTGAAGAAAGCAATGATCCTGATTTCTCCGTAGGGATGACGCTCAGCGCGCACTTTGTTGGGGATTCGAAACAATCAATCGAACCCTTGCCCTTCCGGACCTTGTGTTGAAAGTAGGAAAGTAGGAATAAACCACAAATAAAGATCTAACCTTGTAAAAAACAGTAAAAGAGACGAACACACAGATTTAACGAGGTTCGGCAACGTGCCTACGTCCTCGGGAGCCACACCACACAATCTTTCTATTAATTGAAGAAGAAAATACAAGCTCTCAAACAAGGGGTAAATCTCTCTGAGATTCTCTCTCTCTTTGCAGCCAAAAAGCTCTCTTTTTGATGTCTTACAAACCCTAAAAAACGTTTGGGTATTTATAGAATCCTGAAACAAAACAGAGTCCCAAACAGTTTAGGAAACTGTCTGGGCGATTCGCGGTCGACCGCCGTGCCAAGGCCGGTCGACCGGCCAGAGAAAAAACTGTTTACAGGGTCCTGTGCACATTGGCGGTCGACCGCAGCGGCCACGCCGGTCGACCGACCAGAGCGAAAACTTCTTCTCAGTCTCCTGCAGTGCACGCGGTCGACCGGCTCTGCCACTGCGGTCGACCGCACAGTCTTTCTGACTGTTTCTTCGTCTTTTCGATTGCAGCTTTGGGTCTACACACTTAGACTAACAATCTCCACTTGGAGACCCAAAGCGTCATCATCGAGCTCACCGAACTCTCCCTTCTTCGCATGTATCTTTCCCTAAAAAAATTCTTTCTTCAATCAACATCCCGACGATCGCCGCCGACCTCGTAGTGTGGCTCGCCTTCGTCTTCTACTCGTGAAGGCCAACCTGAAGTTGCGCACAACTCCAGTTTCTCTAATGGTGACTGCCCTTCGCAACATGTCTGCCGGATTTTGACTCCCCAAAATCTTCATTAAGTTGCAACTTTCCGTCCTCGATCAGCGAGCGTATAAATGCGTATTTAACGGTCGAGACTGGCTTCATTCTGGCATGATATACTAGATTCTTGGCAAGATGTATAGCGCTCTGGCTATCACAATAAAGAACTCCTCTCCCTTGCTTCAGATCCAACTCTTCCAAACACCCGTTCAACAGATCATCTCCTTTGCTTGCTTCAGTCACCGCGGACATACTCACCTCGGTTGTAGACAAAGTCACAATCTTCTGCAGACGTGAGACCCAGCTCACTGCTCGTCGACGCTAAGGATAAACATACCCCTGTGGGCTTCGCCTCTATCATGATCACCGCGAAGTCCGCATCCACGTATCCTTGCAGTACCAACTCCGTATCCTCCTGCAAACATAAGTGGGGCTTGTTCGTTGTTCCCCTCAAGTACCGCATTATCCACTTTACGGCCTCCCAATGCTGCTTTCCTGGATTGCTTGCAAATCTGCTCACAACTCCCACTGCATGGGCGATGTCCGGCCTCGTGCAAACCATCGCGTACATGAGACTCCCAATGGCTGAAGAATATGGCACCCTGCTCATATGCTCTCTATCTGCATCTGTCTTAGGCGATTGCTCCTCAGATAACTTGAACTGACTTCCAAGGGGTGTGCTAACAACTTTAGCATTCTGCATGTTGAACCTCTGAAGTACCTTCTCAATGTATTCAGCTTGGCTCAAACTCAATGTCCCTTCAGCTTCATCCCTTCTGATTCGCATCCCTAGAATCTGCTTCGCTGCACCCAGATCCTTCATTGCAAATTCATTTGCTAGCTGCATCTTCAAACTGTTTATCTCTTCTAAACACGGTCCTGCTACCAACATGTCATCAACATATAATAACAAAATAATGAAGCTTGACTCGAACCTTTTGAAATAACAGCAATGATCCGAATTGCATCTCCTTTGCTAGCTGCCTCTTCAAATTGTTTCAAACTTCTTATACCACTGTCTCGGAGCCTGTTTCAAACCATATAAGCTCTTCTTGAGCTTGCACACCATCTCTTCCTTTCCTTCTTCAATGAAGCCAACAGGCTGCTTCATGTAGATTTCTTCATCCAAGTCACCATGAAGAAAGGCAGTCTTCACATCTAACTGCTCAAGGAAGAGGTCTTCTGCAGCTACCAAACTTAACACAACTCTGATGGTTGTGAGTTTCACAACAGGGGAAAATATCTCCGTGTAGTCCACTCCTTCCCGCTGTTGGAACCCTTTCACTACTAATCTGGCCTTGAATCTCTTGCTTCCATCACTCTCCTGCTTGACCCGGTAGACCCATTTGTTGTGCAAGGCTTTCTTCTGCGCAGGTAGCTGGGCTAACTCCCATGTCTCATTAGTGAGTAGAGAATCCATCTCCTCCTGCATCGCATGCTCCCACTGCTGAGATTCACTCACTTGCACTGCCTCTTCATAACACTCCGGCTCTCCGCTATCTGTTAAGAGTAGATAATCAAGTGACGAGAGGTATTTGGGATTTGGTTTGGGTACCCTAGATGACCTCCTAGGCTCCACGCCCTGGGTAGTAGCTTCTGCACCTGTAGTCTCCTCCGTTCTACGGTCAGAACTGACATCGTCGCCCCCATCTGGAAGTTCCTCCAAATCCATGTACTCGGATCCACCTGTATCCGTAGTGCTGCTCCCACTGCTTTGGCTATCCTTGGCATTGTCCCTGTCCTTGTACATCACCTCCTCATTGAATATCACATCCCGGCTCCTGATGATCTTCCTGTTCTTCTCATCCCAAAGGCGATACCCGAACTCATCAATGCCGTATCCAATGAATGTGCACTTCTGTGACTTAGCTTCTAGCTTGTCCCTGACATGGTCACTGATATGAACATAAGCCACGCAACCAAATACCCGCAAGTGTGAGAGATTTATCTTCTTTCCACTCCAAACCTCCTCTGGAATCCCAAAATCTAATGGAACTGATGGCCCGTGATTAATAAGGTATGCTGCCGTATGCACCGCATCCGCCCAAAATGTCTTAGGCAGACCTGCATGTAATCGCATGCTCCGCGCACGCTCTGTCAAGGTCCTATTCATGCTCTCTGCAATGCCGTTCTGCTGCGGCATCCCTAGAGTAGTCCTCTCTAAGCAAATCCCATTCAAAGCACATAACTTCTTGAACTCCTTCAGCTCGTATTCTCCATCATTGTCTGATCTCAAACACTTCACTTTCAGATTTGTCTCGTTCTCTCTCGAACACCTCTGACTTGTGCTTCATGAAGTAAACCCACACCTTCCTCGAGTGATCGTCGATAAAGGTGACGTAGTATCTCGAACAGCCAAGACACACTGGCTGGGCCCCATACATCTGTATGAATCAACTCTAGCTTCTGAGCCTTAGGTGGCCTTCCACCCTTCTGGAAACTAACCCTCTTCTGCTTCCCAAAGATGCAGTCTTCACAAACCCCGACTTCCACGGTGTCGATCCCGGTTAGCTTTCCTTGTGAATGTAGAATTTTCATCCCTTTCTCGCTCATGTGCCCCAGCCTATTGTGCCACAGATCTGTACTCTCCTTGCCAGCTGCAATTGCGAGTGTGTCACTCGCATGTGAAGTGAGGTAGAGAGTTTCCGTTTTGTTGACTCGGGCAACAACCATCGTACCGTTGGAGATCCTCCACGAATCCCCGGTGAATGTCGAAACGTAGCCTTCTGCTCCAAGTTGTCCCACCGAAACAAGATTCATCTTCAGCTTCGGCACGTGTCTCACGTTCTTCAAGTTCCACTTGGAGCCCTTCATTTGTATCTGAACATCGCCCTTTCCAACAATATTGCAAGGTTCATTATCCCCCAAGTATACTTTACCAAAGTCCCCTGCTACATAGTTCTGAAGTAGTTTCCTATTAGCAGTGGCGTGGAAAGAAGCTCCTGAGTCGATGACCCAAGAATCAGAATCGCTATCCATAGCAAGGATCAAGGCATCCTGCACGATATGAGCCTCCTGCTCACCCGCATCCTTCTTTAGTGCTTTACAGACCGAAGACATATGACCCTCCTGGCCGCAGTTCCAACACTTCCCTTTGATAGACCTAACCTTCGAGTTCGGCCTCTTCTTCACTGATTTCGACCGATTCCTGTTCTGGTTCCCTTTCTTCTGGCTTCTGCCTCTCTGCTCGAAACTTAGGGCTGAACCTGAACCTTCTGATTCGGACGATTTCCTTCTAACCTCCTCGGATAGAATCATGCTAACAACCTCATTCAGCTTCAACTTCTCTTTCCCCGCCAAATTGTTGATTGCTGTCACACAACCTGCCCAACTATCCGGCAACTGCGATAGAATCAATAGGGCTTGCACTTCGTCATCAAACGTGATGTCCACGGAGATAAGCTGATCAC